TAGTTATTGACGTTCTGACGAATTATCAAACAATATTTATGTGTGTAATTTATCGAGCAGACCTTCTTAGAAGTATCTCACCTGAATATTCCCCGAGTGAGGCCTGTGCCCCAGCAGTGGGGACATTAATAGGCTGATGATGATGATGATGAGTGGTTTGAGCCGTGTAATCACTAAATGGTCAAAGGACACTTTAGCATACTAAAAAGGGTTAAAGATTGGTTTCAAGTTCTTTGCCAAACATTCTTCAAACACAGTCAATCCCTTAGTCGACCCTTACGACTTACTTGGAAATTAAGAGGAACTAGGAACCAAAACCAAATGCAGTTATTAGATTAATAAGATTTATGTCATGATTAGCGGCCCGCCCTCGCTTCGCTTCGGTGTAGAGCTGAAGTGTAGACTACAGTTTTTGTTCTTAGGCTTGTATTATACACAATGACATTCATCTATGATTCTTCTTATACCTGCATGCAAAGTCTCAGCCCGATCGGTTTAAAATTGACAAAGTTTCATACAAACTTTCATTCCCTATTTTATCCCCTTGGGGATAGAATTGATCAAAATCCTTTCTTAGCGGATGCCTACGTCATAACATCTACCTGCATGCCAAATTTCAGCCCGATCCGTCCAGTCGTTTGGGCTGTGCATTGATAGATCACTATGTCAGTCAGACACCTTTGAGTTTTATATATATAGATAAAATAAAAAAACTATGATAATTATCGTATTCCTCCTGTCTCCTTGCCGAAATGTAAGCATATTTCTGTAGATTTGTGTATTCCATTTTCCTGCAATTTTTGTTACCTACATTTCTTTATAAATCTAGTATATCACTGCTTTGGAGTTAATGCCATACAAATAAGCTCAGATAACTCATTTGTACACTTTATTTAAAAATATTATGTTTTTTATATTTTGTTTTACCTGTCAAAAACGATATCAATAAGAAAAAGAATTAACCAATTCGGTTCAGTCTTGTCAAGTCAAGTGATGCGCATACATACTTTACGATGATTCATTTATTATACATAGATAGAGCTATTTATCACTGAGTTAAACTACCGGTCAGGTGTTACCCAGCAGCTTCTAGTGACCCTTATCAGGTCCTCAGTCCACCTTGTTGGAACGCCTACCTTCGATGCGCTGACCAGTACCTATAAGGTCATCACTCGAGAACCTTTTTACTCTTTTGTTGCTGTCATATCACAATGTTTTCTGTCCACTGCCATATTTAAGTTAGGCAATTCAGCTGCTCTAAACTAAATTCAAGTAGGTATCTGCATTTTCGCAAATTTTACAGAACAAAATAACGTTTTTTTTTTCATAAAAATCATTTCAGCTAATAATGAACCTACTGAAGTGATTTTTTGAAATGCAACAGTACTTTACCATTTTAAAGTATGTCTGCTGGTTTACTAAGTAGCTTACAGTCACTATATAGTTTGTGAAGGTGGTGGTGGTGGCAACTTGACAGAATAGATGACATTTAAATAATTTTATTTCATAAATGAAGTCAACCGTTTATACAGGTTGTCCCGTAAATAATGGTCCAACCGTAAATCCCAGCTAGTTTACTTGATTGCCTACAACTAATTAGAACCGTTTTTGAAATTTATAAGGGTTGCCAACAAAAATGATGATATGTATTTTTTTCAATATTTTTGTTTTGAATTGGTTTTTTTAATGGCATTGATGAAAATATTAAAAAATTTCAAACCTTTTTTCTTTAAAATGTAGCTAGATAGATTGCCTCTCAACTAGCATGTCACATTTGCATGATGACATTGTATTTATAAATTTTATTATTTTTAAAGCATGTAACTGCTTGATGTTAAATCTAAAGAAAATGTAACTAGAAAAATCACATTACATTGTATTTATTTCAAAAATATTTAAGTAACTTAACATTTTATTGCATTTTATTTGGATGACCTAAATTGAAAAGCTCCTAATCTAAAAAAAAAGTATGACACCAAAGTGTTTCATTATTTTAAAAATATGTGCATTAAGTAAAGTTTCAAAATTTGTATAAAACTTATGGTTAACTAGTTAAGTTGCAAACTTAATACAATGAATCCGAAGAAGAGGCGAATATCTAAAAAAAAACTATATTAATTAAATTAGTATCTAGTTGTGTTATTTTACATTATTAGGAATGTTTTTACGTTAATCAACATAATGATTATACTGATAATAGCTTTAATGGCCCTAATTAGTGAAAACGACAGGTAAAATGAGGATTTTAGAAAAATATATGCAAAAAACCGTTATTATTTTATAATAAATGCTCAAATTGCCTTCCGTCTACAGCTATGAACATTCTGCATCTCCTAATAAAAGAAGATTTTAGACGCCGACTAAAATTAATGTTATTTATTTCTACTGCAGCATTTCGGATTCTTTGGCGTAGGTATTTAATATTTGTGATAGGCGGCATTCTGTATATCTTGTCTTTATGGCATCCCCAATCAAGGGCGGATCCAGGGGGGGGGGGGTCATGGGGTTCATGACATGGCTTGGTACAGATGGACCAAATCCAGGGGGATTTTATTTAAGTACTTTCAATATTTAATATACCACGACTATATGACCCCCCCTGGCGCCAAAGCTGGCTATATGACCCGCCCTGACGCCAAAGCTAGCTATATGACCCCCCCCCCCTGGCGCCAAAGCTGGATCCGCCCTTGTCCCCAATAAAAGAAATCCAGTGGGTTTAGATCAGGAGACCGCGCCGGCCACAAAATCGGCCCCAATCGATCGATCCATCTTCCAGGAAATAAATAAATAAATATTTCCAACACTCACACCAATTAGCCTAGCCCCAAAGTAAGCACTATAAGGCTTGTGTTATGGGATACTAGAGTAACGGATAGAATATATAAACTGTATATATATAAGTATATTTTTTTTTATAGAAATACATATTAAACATCCATGACTGGAGTACAAATGCTCGTATTCATCACACAAACATCTGTCCCCACCGGGATTTGAACCCGGGACCTCTCGAGTCGGCGACACCATGAAACCCGGCATACAAACCACTCGACCACGGAGGTCGTCAAATAAATTATTTAAAATTCCCTTACCGCCGTTGCATAGTGTGCGGGTTTTGTATCCACATTGACGATGTTATTTCTTCTCATATTATTCACCCGTACCACCTACAACGTGTACAAACTTTAAACCTCAGAGATTACCCTCGAAGAATGGAATTTTGTAGAACAATGCTTCGGAAGATTCGCGAGGATCCGCATTTTTTTATAAAATTTTATGGAGCGATGAATCTTCTTGTAGAAAAGATGGATACACCAATATGTACAATTTACACAGCTCACAGCTGGCAACTAATGAATCCACTGTTAATGAGAGAAGATAGAAGCCAAACTTCGTTTAAAATTAATTTATGGACAGGAATACTAAATGGACAATAATAGGACACTTTGAGTTGCCTGCTACTTTAAACGCTGAATATTGAGTTTTTTAAGAGAAGAACTACCTAATTTGCTCCAAAATGTGCGAGAAGAAATAACATCGTCAATGTGAATACAAAACGATGGGTGCCCCGCACACTATGCAACGGCGGTAAGGGAATATTTAAATAATTCATTTCCTGGAAGATGGATCGGTCGATTGGGGCCAATTTTGTGGCCGGCGCGGTCTCCTGATCTAAACCCATTGGATTTCTTTTATTGGGGATGCCTTAAAGACAAGAAATACAGAATGCCGCCTATCACGAATATTGAAGACCTACGCCAAAGAATCCGAAATGCTGCAGTGGAAATTAATAACATTAATTTTAGTCGGCCTCTAAAATCTTACTTTTATTAGGAGAAGGTGCATAGCTGTAGGCGGAAGGCAATTTGAACGTTTATTATAAAATTATAACGGTTTTTGCTTATTTTTCTCTAAAATCCTCATTGTACCTGTCGTTTTCACTAATTGGTGCCATGAAAGCTATTATCAGTATAATCATTATGTTTATTAACGTAAAAACATTCCTTATAATGTAAAATAACACAACTAGATACTAATTTAATTAATTTAGTTTTTTTTTAGATATTCGCCTCTTCTTCGGATTCATTGTATTAAGTTTGCAACTTTACTATTTAACCATAAGTTTATAGGTACCAATTTAGAAACGTTACTTAATATACATGTTTTTTAAAAAAAATGAAACACTTTGGTGTCATACTTTTTGACGTGACAACGTCTTAAATTAGGTTGCGGCTGGGAGTCACTTATGAAAAAGTGTAACGCTCGGTAACGTTACGATGAGTCTCTCGTGTTAAGTTTAAGTTTACATGTACAATGTTTTAGTAAACAAAATATATTTCTATAGTTAAAATTTGTGCAATTCTTATTTTCATTCAATTCCTTGTTCCTATTGTGCAATTTAATTATATTCATATCAATAAATATTCTACCGAGAAAAAGACGTTGTCACGTAAAATCTTCGCCCGTAAAACCGACTTTACAGGCAACCATTTTTTCTTTTTTTTAGATTAGGAGCTTTTCAATTTAGGTCATCCAAATAAAATGTTAAGTTACTTAAATATTTTTGAAATAAATACAATGTCATTATGCAAATGTCATATATGAGTTGAGAGGCAATCTATCTAGCTACATTTTAAAGAAAAAAGGTTTAAATTTGTTTAATATTTGCATCAATGCCTTTAAAAAAAACAATTCAAGACAGAAATATTGAAAAAAATACATTTTATAATTTTTTTTGGCAACCCTTATAAATTTCAAGAAACGGTTCAAATTAGTTGTAGGCAATCAAGTGAACTAGCTAGGATTAACAGTTGGAACATTATTTACGGGACACCCTGTATAAAATAATCTATAAATTACTGTTTTTTTACGGCGAAACGGCAAAGTTAGAACAGTGAGAAAACATGTTGGAATAAGTACAAAACGTAACGCAATTTTTTCAGTCATGCAAAACGAAACGTTGTTTGGCTGTCATGTTGACAGATTTGACAAGTCAATGACAACTTTCTATCTTTCTTCCATCATTTCGTGTTTGTGTGGAATGTAGTTATTTTCTATTTTTCCTTCTATCGTGTGGGTGTTGGAGAACGTGTTAAAAATATTTATGAAATACAATGAATATCAAATATGCCAATGCGCATTCACGTGTAAAATAGAGCGCTACATGTGTCCCTATAATGTTGAACGTTCATAAGATATGGCTTTTCTCATATCTCTGTGTTGTTGTTATTGTAGTCCTGTATTTTCAAGCAGAAATTTCAAGCTTGGAAGACAAATATCAGAAATTAGGCAAGTATAGTCTGAGAACATGCCTTGAAAAAGTGAGCATTCGTTAAATAGTATTAAGTTAGTGAAATTTTGTTGTTTCATTACAGAATACAAGCTCGCTCAAAAACACTCGGAGCCTCGTCAGTTTTTCCCGAAGTTGATAGAAAAAGTTGACGATGACCTAGTGGTGATATATAATAGGGTCCCCAAAACGGGCTCCACGAGTTTCGTAGGAGTAGCCTACGATTTGTGTAAGAAAAACCATTTCAAAGTGTTACATATCAATATTACCGCGAACATGCACGTAATGTCGCTCAGCAATCAGTATAAGTTTGCTCAGAATGTCACAAGATGGAATGATGTGAAACCAGCTCTTTATCATGGACACATGGCATTCTTGAACTTTGAAAGGTAAGGATTTGAAACAAATTCCACAACTCTATCTAAAATAATACTTAGTTTTTTTTGTAACTGCCATCCTTATAACTATACATTAATAATTGAGTACCTTATAAAAATAACAATCTAAGACAATGTGAATGGTCATTTTATATATAAATCTTCTCTTAAGTAATATGGTGTTATTCAATAAAGCTTTAAACATAGTAATAAAGAAATAAATTGTATTGTATAAATTTGTATAGTTAACAATAAGCAGTCCAAATTAATTCAAGTTAGGGAATTTAAAATACTAATTCTTTTCACATATTTATTACAGATTGGGAACAACTTCAAGGCCTATATTTATTAATTTAATAAGGAAACCGTTGGACAGACTGGTTTCTTATTATTATTTCCTCCGTAACGGAGATAACTTTAGACCCCATCTAGTTAGAAAAAAGCATGGAGACAAAATGGTAAATGAAAATAAATACTTCATCTTTCCTGTCACCTATAATTAAGTCACTTTATATAAAAAGTGGAGTTGTGCTAAATATTGTATTCAAAATATGGAAATCAAAGTTGCATGATTTATTTAAATCGAAAACTGATACCCCTGCCACCACAAGTGATAGAAGATAATGTAGATATGTATATGTGTATAAGGGTTTTTAATGCACAAGATTTTAGATAGAATTTCAAATACGCAAGTTTATTTCTTGTCTTATAATAAATAGTAGCCAATGTATTCTGATAAACTTATTCCTGCTCATTCCAAAATGCAGTCTAAAGTTAACTGTGGTTCAAACTTTATTCACTTTTTACGAACAAAAGTGACAGTATCAATTTTAAACCAGGTTCACTTTTAGTCAAAGTCTGTAATAAGGCGAATCAAGATGCTTTATAAAAAGGATCTTTCTTTTCTCCATACAAGTCTGCCCAATTTTGTACCTCTAGTATTACCATGCATGTATGTGTAGAAAAGTATGCAGAATTCATCAAAAATATAAATGGAGTTTATTATCCACATGTATCACATAAAAATGTCTTTCAAACATTAAAGTTAATGGCATCGCATATAATATAGTATGGTAAACATGTTAATAACAATTAACTATGGAAATCACGTGATGTTTATACTACCAAGCCTATTAATGTCCAATGCCCCTCAGCTGGGGCACAGGCCTTCTCTATGGAATGGAATAGGGAGATTGGGCCATGACCCACAACACGGGCCCAGTGCGGATTGGCGGGTGCCAACAACTGCAGAAGCAGCTGGGATCAACGCCTTAAGATGCCTTAAGGAGCACAGAAGATCTTGAGATAGAAGAACTTTGATCTACCATCCAATGACCAATCACTGCGAAAGTAGCTTAACTTCAACGATCGCAGCCGAACACGCTAAGCACCCACGCCACCTAGCTCCTCAACCAATTAATTCAAACCAATAGTATTAGCTGTCACCTGGCAGACAATAACAAATTGCGTATATGTAATAACATTTCTTTATACGCAGATTCCATATTTAAATTCAGATTTTTAGCAATTTTTTTAATATATTGAGTATTTGATGAGGGTAGCTTGGTGGTAGTGGCTCTTTAATTATTAATTTTAATGTTAGATGTTTTTTGAGATAATTTGTAGCAAGGTACAAAATTGGGCAAAAATCTAAAGTTCCTTTTGTCATACTAATAATAGATACATAATTAATTGCTTATTCCTAGAATAGGTCTTTATAATAATAGTCTAAAATCCTAAAATTATTTTAATTGCAGACATTTGATGAATGTGTTGAAAAAAGTCAACCTGATTGTGACCCTAACAATATGTGGCTACAAGTGCCATTTTTCTGTGGTCACTCTGCTCAATGTTGGTAAGTATAAAATATGCTTTAATTACATTAAAATGTTGGTATCACCAGAGTACTTAATGAGGTTACAAAGATTAAACTACTATAAAATCTGCAAATAGGTAGAGGTTACTTCATTAATAATAACTGCTTATCACTAATGGTTTAGCTATTAAATTGTAATTTTAATAAGTTATGCTTTATATTAATTCCTAATTAAAACTAAGTAAGTTTTTTTTATAAAATAGTTTTGATTTTAACGACAAAACTGGAAAATGAGCAATCTTCAAAAACTTATCTCAAAAATATATATTCTTTTAAATCTTAAGAAAATATAACTAGAAAATAATCCACGCGGACCAGGCAGCAGACGGGACTCGAACCCCTCTAGTTATATTTTCTTTAGATTTAAACATCAAGCAGTTACATGCTTGAAAAATAAAAAAAAAATATATAACTTTTAAGTAATAAAAACTTATTCCAGGAAACCAGGGAGCCACTGGGCATTGCAGCAGGCAAAACAGAATTTAGTTAATCACTACCTTGTGGTAGGAGTTACAGAGGAGATGCAGGATTTCATCTCTGTTCTAGAAGCAGCCTTGCCCAGGTTCTTTAAAGGGGCAACGGAACATTACTTAAGCAGTAATAAATCCCATCTCAGGCAGACCAGTTCAAAGTTAGAACCGAATCAAATCACCGTAGATAGGATACAACAGTCGACCATTTGGAAGATGGAAAATGAACTCTATGAGTTTGCCTTAGAACACTTCAAGTTTGTGAAGAAACGGTTGCTTCTTAGAGAACCGAATAGTATAGCTCAAACATATTTCTATGAGAAAATACGGCCTAAATGATACCCTAGTAAAGTTTACTATTTGTTATTAGTTACACTTACTATAAACGTTATTTAGTGATGAAGAAATTTTAAATCTCAATAGATACTATTTAGTCTGTTCTTGTTTTGTCTAGTGCATGCATGAGTATTTTGTATATATAGAAAAAAAATAGGAATATACTGTATGGTAATCGAAAAAATTGGCAATATCCACAGGTACAGATAAACGGTTGATTGTGGTTATTTCAAGAGACTGTTGTGTGACATATATATATATACTGGCCTACTCGGTGAGTGCAATACTATCTACATAATAATTATAGACAGTGTTATATAATTTAAATGAAAGTATAATCAATCTGTTTTGTGGATTTGGTTGCAATTTTCATACTCTAGCGATTTTTTCCTTAACGAGTGTCGGATAAACAATCTCTTCATTTACACATCGACCATATTGGAACTCGATTCGTATAATTTGTCAAACTGAAGAACTGCATTATTGGTTCCAACCCATCATGCACGGGCCTACCAAATAAACATAGGTGTGGTCGTAATGAAAAACACTAGTCAAGTGTGGTTATGGCGGGACCCAATTACATCTGATCCCATTGTTTTTTATGCCTTTAGTTAAATATCAGGACGCGCAGAATACGCGACGAAACTTTGCTAAAAGCCAAGCCAATCTAAGAAAAGAAATAAATAAAAAAACTATATGACTACGAACAGATTGGTGTCAATTCTGACACGATTCTCTAAACCTAAACTTAAATTTGACAACAGTGTATTCTTGTCATTCTCTATACGGAATGAAAAGGAGAGATTGATGAAAAATTTAGTTTTAATTTTAGAGAATCACGCCAGAATCGACACCATTGTGAAACTGTCGCATGACTAAAATTAAATTCATAGTCCTAACACCATAAACAACATGGTTGAAGATGCGATGTCGCCAGGTCTGCGACACTTACAGGTCTCTGGCCAAATAATTAGTTTCTGGTCACCCATCCAGTGCCTAGTCTGTGTTATCACACAGATAACGCAGACTATTCATTTATTTGCATCAGAAATTAATACAATTAATAATACATTTTATCAATGCAGTCATAGATGATTATGCGTTTAAACAATTCTTAAATATCTAGCCTGAGTTACAGTCATTAGTAAGTGACAGTGATGCAAATAGGCAGAAGCTCAGCAGTGTTTTTGCCTTAATAGGCAAAATTTTGATTTTCAGCAACTGCCCGTAAGAAGCGCGAGGATGTAGGTACAAACACAGACTGTAGTAATGCGTTACTAATGCTCTATAGAGGAGCTCGATGGCGCTAGTGGTTAGCGCGTTCGGCTGCGATCGTTGAAGTTAAGAAACTTTCGCAGTGGTCGGTCATTGGATGGGTGACCAAAAATCTTCTATCTCCAGTTCCTCGGTGCTTCGGAAGGCACTTTAAGCCGTTGGTACCAGCGGCATTTGCAGTCGTAAGCACCCGCCAATCCGCACTGGGTCCGCGTGCTGGGTCATCGCCCAATCTCCCTATTCCATCTATAGGGAAGACCTGCGCCCTAGCAGTGGGGACATTAATAGGCTGATGATGAATGCACTTTACACCAATGTAGAACGCCACATAGTTATAAGGCAAGGCCTCTTCTGTAAGTTCAATGTTTATGAATACAATATTTAACAAAGATTTGACCGTTCTTAATTAAAAAGCTTTTACTCAAGGATACTTTAGACGGTTCTTAGGCTATTTTTTTTTATTATTATGTAGTCTCAATTGATATTTGTATGAATATTAGATAGTAGTCCTAACTCAACTAAATAGAAGTGGTTAATAAGTATTTACCACTTATAAATCTATTGTTTTCTTAGTAGAAATATTTGATATTGGTAAGTTTTTTGTTTGAAAATCATATGCCTTTCGTTTAATAAATCATTAAAAGTTTTAATGGATTTAATAAGCAATGAATGAAAAGTTTTAATAAGCAATGGTGTAATGTTTTAATGAATTTACTAGCCAAGCACAAATATAATTGTTGGTAGATTCCACATAACGCACCCCCGGTGCGACACTGTCACTTATGCAAAAAAAATGGGTGCGTGTACTTATGTAGGCGCGTGAGAAGTTATCCTTCTTTGGCATCGTTTAAAATTAGTTTTTAATTGCATGCAAATAATTAATTACAATAAATTAATAAAAAGTCAGTCAATAAAGTTCAGTTTTAATTTGAAAAAATAAATAAATAATCAAAATATTCAATTAAAATCGCTACTGAATATAATTTATTAGAACATATGTGATTTGCACTTGTATGAAACTCAAACACGTATTCCGAATATACAAACTAGAAACATGTGGATAAATATTATAAATATGAATACCTATAACTGTTACTTTATTACAATAATAACATAAAAGTAACATTGAAAAATAAAGATGTGGTTTTTGGTTCTACTACACCAATGGTCAAGAGATGGCGCTGTAGTCTCCTGAATCGCGCTTTGGTTCCGTTGTTTCAGATTAATAAATACTTTTCATAGGCCTTCACAATGCAATCGTTAGCACCCACTAAATAGAGATTCTATTTCTATTTTGTTGGTAGATTTTCGTAATGTGCGGTAAACACAAAAGTAATAAAAAATTTTGTGTTACAGTGATGCGCGCGCATCTTAAAATTTCACTCTCATAATTTTTTCATAACGCGCCTAAAGAAGTATAACTTCAAAAACATTTTTTCAGGAGAAGCGTTTAAAACTTTAAAATCCCAAAACATACAATATTTAAAGTTTTTTTTATTTTTTTTAGATGAATATCTAAGCTGTATAAGCTTTTCATCACGTAAAAATCTTTAAATATTGTATGCTTTGGGATGTTAAAGTTTTAAACGCTCATCCTGAAAAAAAAAATGTTTTTCCATAAGTGACAGTGTCGCACTGGAGGTGCGATAAGGGAAAATTTATAATCAACAGTTAGGCCATCAGACTGTCTAATTCCAAGACACGAACAAACAGATGTAGAGACCACTCTGAAAGATTTAAAAACATTTACGATACAGTTATGTATTCTGATATCAAAATTTCTCTTTTCTTTTTTTTTAATTCTCGTTTTTCCAAATCGTTTGAAGGACGCCTTTATTTATTTAGTAGGTATATTTGGAAAGGATTCTTTTTTGACATATGAAGAATTGTATTTTACATCAAATTTTAATGAAGATAGTTTTTGACTTTCACTTTTACAACTTTAATTTTATAATTTGTTACTAAAGTGGTTATGCCTGTTACGGTTCATGTCGTACAGATAATAGACGGACAGACCGATGCGCTGTTAAAGGAAACTTAGTAATAGGGTTTCATTGTACCTTAACAATTTATCAGTTTGAATAAGCTAGATGTGTTATTGATTGTACATTACTATGTATAGAACTGTAGATCTTATAGACAATAAATACGTGCACATTAATTTCTCGTACTAAAGTATATTCATTACATACCAATGTATACGAATATTAATTTGAATTTCGTTTGTTAGTTTGACAACATTTTATGCGGGATATTATCATAATATATTTTTTTTTTCAGTAAAATGATAAGATACGAATAGACAGTATTAATTGATTATACTTAATGTGCGCGGGAGAGAAATTACGCATATTAATTGCATTCTTGCTCAATGCAGCATAAACGAACAATCTAAAAAAAGATCTGGCTTTGACCAATAAGAAAATATAAGTAGGGTTCAATACGCTATCATTCTATTATTAGCCGATTTTTATGTTTCATGTAGGTATATAAATAGTCCTGAGCCCTGTATATGCGATCGCACGTCTAGGGTAGGAAAAACAAACAGCCACGAGTTTAGGTCGTGTCCAAATCGTCAGTCTTTAGAATAGGAGATATTAGAGGGTTCACGTAACATTCCTTGTCTGAAGCGCTGGAATATTTTTTGTTTTCTATATTCTAGCCTCTCGTGCGGCCACCTCCACACCATGCAAATCAGCAGATTTTTTTTTTACCAACATCAGAAACGTTATGTGAACCCTCCACTAGCTTGTATTCATAATACTGCCAATTTGGACAATTTGGCCGCGTCCAAAAGCCCGTTTCTTGAATTTTTTGTTGCCTTAGACGTTCGGCCGTACTTAAAGGGCTCAGGTGTGGTGGGAGTACTTCAAAAGATGCAAGTTTGCTCTCCTTATG